ATAAAATGATAATAATTCAATATAACCTATGTTATTAGAAAACAACCGAATAAAAGCTAAACAAATGACTTCTCCGCAAAGGACGGCAAGTAAACCCCTCTGGTGGAGAATACACTGAACTGAGTGATTGGACAGTCATGTAGTACTCGTCAGACAGTCCATTTAGCCGTCATTGACTGGGAGTAGATCGAGTGCAATCTTAGTGCAACAAACACTGGGCTGCTCAGGTGAACATCAGAATGCCTAAAGCGGCGTTAACAACTAAACTTTTTGCTTTTAACGTTTCGTATTCTAATTGGTGAAGCAAAATCTGTAATTGAGATGACGCAAAAAGCTGAAAATATTCAGCTTTTTGCGTTGCAAGAAGCCATCGTCTGTGAATAGATGAATAATATGGAAAATTCTGTAATAATATGGAAGTTATGATAATGTTTTCATGATTTTTTCGTGAATCCACAGAATAGTAGATAGGTATACTGTTCAATTCATTATTTTCTTGTTGAAGATTGATTTTTCTCTTCAAGTATTGAATAAGGATCAATTTTCGTCACCGCCAGTTCTATGAATATTATTAATTATCACTTATAATTACACGAGAGCTTTTTTTTTGTCGAAGTAAACTTGACATGTATCAATAAGAATCGCCTGGCAATTAAACGAAAGGACGAGTAACTTTTTCTGGCAGTTTTTTGAGTTGAATCACCTAATGGCAACAAAATTCGAATTATAAATGCCAGGTTTAATTCGACTAAAAAAAAAGCTAGAGTTTAATTCGGTAAGACAATTTAATTCATTTTTTGAATTGACTCGGCCGTTTCTTGATGGAAATCCATGGCAAATGTAAAAACTACACAAACGATAATATTTCCACAAAATTCTCAAACACACGACATCTTTCGCTAACACAGTAGCTTCGTCAGGTGATATACTGGTACAATGAACTGACATCTTATCGTTTGTGAAGTTTTTACATTTAAATTTGATTAATTATTATTGTTTATGGCTGGTTGTCATGCTTTCAAAAATTAGGTTCCGTTATTGTCGCTGGAAAAGTAAGGGAAAACTTTCTTCGTTGTCATAATGACAAAATCACGCGGCTTATTGTTGGATTTTTCATACATGAATTAAATTGTCTGATCAATATCATTATGATTATTTACTTCATTTCAGGATGAAAAACAAATAACAAAACCGAGGCAACTGAGCCATAAAAAGTCACGTTGATTTTTTTGTTGTTGTGAGTGACATTTGCTTAGGTTTAGTTCACGTTTAATTTCAGATTCTGCTTCACCAATCATAATGCGAAACGTAAAAAGTTTGGATGTGAACGCCGCTTTAAGCGACATGACGCGAGTCAATTCAAAAATCAATGAATGTAGGTATTTCAAAGAAATAAATATTGGAATTTGAAGCTTCAACGAACACTTTCTTTAAATGTCGTCTCGTCTTTGGTCAACTCAAATGAATGTTGACCATCATTCTTATAGAATTTTTGTAATTCGTTACCGAACAAGATAAAATATATTCGAAAACATTTTCGCGGGGACGCTATTCAAATTTCAGATCTGACGTTTCAAATCAGAATTATGACAATTCGGAAATGTCAGTGGTGACAAATAAAAGTGTGTCAACATGGTGTCAATTTATAAACATCTTAAGGTGAGTTCCCAATGTTTTTGCTTTACGCGTCGCGCGTCATGCAACCTGATTGGTGTCGCTGAGTTTGAAATATATTTGACGCGATGAAATTAAAATATTCTAACTTTTTGGCGTTGCTGCTTTGTGTTGTGTTGAGGTTATGTTCCAGAAACCTTAATATTCATCAAAGCAATATAAATTCAGCAACAAGATAATTCATGAAAATGTTGAAAATTTGAATGCAACTTCATTAAACCCTCATTTCTGAAAGTGATCTGATGAGTAAGTCATTGCAGTATCACTGAAGTAGGTACCTACCTAATTATCTCATTTTCACTATGCAATTTTCGTTTTTTGATGAATTATTTATATGATGCAGCTCTGAATATCTTGCAAGCATTATCCTATATTTTCAGTATTCTCAGATATTCTCATGATTTTTCGATGCAAACTTCAACCACATCGACAATGATAGGTAATTTAATTGGGAACTGAAGTAAATTATGAAAAAGAGTGCAGCAATTCTCATTTACGCGTCAATAATCTTAATGCGTGGTACGTGACGCGAAAAGCAAAAAAGCTGCATTGGGAACCCACCTTTAGTGTGTCCACACTCTGCGGGATTATTAGTTGCGCTCTGTCTATAGACGCGCACAGAACACTACAGATTCGGGGGCATGATTTACCTCATAGTATAGCATTATGGTGCGGGGGTGCGCGGAGGGGCGTGACGTCAGTGTTTCCCCACCACGTGATTGTTGATTTCGTTTGTGTCACTGTCAAATGAATTGAAAAGAATTTTGAATTTGAACTCGAAAGAATCGCGAATTTTAGACATTAGTTGAAAACAGGGTGACAAGAAGACTGAAGATATCTTTGAAAGAGTGTGAGAGGTTGTATAATAATATGGTGTAGTATTATTCAAGGCTGGTCACATCATAAATATCATAATATTATTGTGTGGAGTCAAGAGTGGATATAGAACAAACAAATGTTATGAAATGCCTGTTTGGCAGCCTCCACATGAGATTCAGATAATTCCAAAGGAAAATGATGAGCTGTGGCAATGTGAATGTCCCTGTGAAGCAGGCATGTCACGGTTTTGTATACACATTTTATAAGGACTTATAAATATTGACAGGTAGGAAGGTGCACTTTTGATCTATCACACACACAGGTAAAAAATATATGAAATTTCAGGAATGAAGACTTGGAATATGTGAAGCTGCATATATAACAAACAGAAGTGGTGAAAATTGAAAAAAGAGAGTAGATCAATCAATGATCTATTATACAGCCAAACCATTTCAATAGTTCTGCTACCTGCTTATTAAAAGAAGGAAAGTGACCCCCTAAAATCATTCTTCCTTTATATAATTGAAGTTAATTTTACAGGGTATATCAGTCTATTTTGTTTTTTGTTTGGAAGCCAATGAACTCAATGTGAACAACTAGCTATTGCATGGTACCCAGGAACACTGGTGAGATTATTAAATTTTACTTATACTTGCTACTTCATTTTTACATGTAGCAAGGAGACTTGGGAAGAATGGCAATCAACTTCTTCTTTCCAAAGGATTTTTCAAATAAATTTGTTCAGCATGGAGTTGAATATAAATCCAAAGCTCTTTCAAAATGTTCATTGAAAATGATATTGAATTTCAAATCATGCAAACAAATTTGTGTCCCAATATTTTCCATGGTTAGGATTTTCTCAATATGAAATTATTTTTCAGGAAGGAAGACCATGGAAATAATTGAAATAAGTGTCCTTACTGAGGTCCTTACATAGAGGTTTGTTAAATAATGTGTATTACATTCAGCTTGAATTATTTTCTCAAAATTTTAGGTAAAGGTTCAGAACATTTTGTGGAACAATGCCATTTCTTGATAGGAGATGGTATAAAAAATGTGAAGTTGGAAGAGAGACACACTTATTATGGATAAATTCAGTTGGGAATAATGGCCCTAAAATGTCCCTAATGAACTTGAAAGAAACTAATTTTCTTGTATGATTCTTCTTCCTCCTAAACTTACATAAAGATTCCAGTTTTTTGTGATACATTTTGTGTTAATGTTATGAGGAAGATATCTCAAAGATATTTCCATTATGTTGCACTTTTATTGCATTAATAAAATGGAATGAATTGTGATGACTTCTTTATTAATTCATTTTCTTATTATTGCATTTTCAAACAATAATATGTTCCAAATTGATACTGAAATAAAACCAGTGAGTTAGAATCATTCAATTTATCCAGAAGGAAATCCTCTTTAGTTAATTGTTTCTTGTTTCTCAGAAATGATGGCCTAATCAATTTCAAGATATTTCTTCACATCCCTTGTCAGCATGCCCTTATCCACCATGATTTCATCATTAGGTTCAGACTTCCCAATAACATTTTCTTTATAAAAAAATGCTTTATCAGTAGTTCAACCTCCATATCCTTATTAATGCCAACAATAATCAGTCCTAATGGAGTGGTATTGCAATAATAATTTGACTGAGTTTCTGTAATGTGTCTGTACAACAGGAGCACTGAGGAACATAATATCTTTCTAGATTTCTTTCTTCAGTCTTTTGTACTTGCTGCATGTTTTGGGAAAACAGTGAACAATCTCTTGGACACAAAAACATATTGGAAAACTTCAAAATTTATCAATATTCACTTGATTGCACAATGCTAAATTTGTTTGTTTTGTTTTTCACCTCCGCCATTTTCATTTTGCCGTTCGACAAAAGACGATGGGGAAACAGTGACGTCAGGGCAGGTCAATATGAGGCAACCTTATAGAGTTGAATAGCCTTGGGCATGAGGCACCAAATAATGTAGTTGAAGTAATCACTGTACGTAGACCTCCACGTAGACGTTAACGTACGAAAACTGGTTTTCGTATTGCCTTTAAAATTGAGTTGACGTCGTAGTACTTTTCGATTTCGGTTTGTATTGGCCTTGATTAATGGTATTGGTCATTTTTGGTTGTTTGATTAGATCTGAACAATTACTTCTGTTAAAATGAGAAGACTCCTTGATGCAGAACTCCTTGGAGATCCCGAATTGGCCGAATTTGATAATTTTGACTCATCGGCATATTTCCAGTATAGTTTGGTTAACGTACGTTAATACGTGAAAGTACGTGAGGTAAATAGATAACGTACACACGTAAGCCCACTGCCAACCAATGAACTCAATATAAAGAATTGCTACCAACGCGTAATTAAAGAATTGAAAAATGCGCATGCACTTAATTTCTACGTTTACGTTATCATGGCAACACTTCAACTCTCCAATCCAATATACTACGATTACTGTGCCACTAGCACTAGCTAGTAGCCACTACCTTCTTGACAACAAAGATAAAGATAATCCAAAGGTGAAGAACATTTTACGAATACCACGAGTTTCGAGAATGTAATAATCAGTCCATATGAAACACCAGAAACAGATAAATCATTTTCCGATAACACGACAATAATGGGTATTATGTATATTATGCAAATTCTCACCAAAATAATCTCTGTGCAAACTGTGTCAACTGACTGGCAGGCTGAATCTGAACAGTGAAATGAAATTGCTGAATCGCATCACCAGTGAAGAAAGTACCGAGTGCCGTTAATTACATTTCGGGGAATCCCAAAATAAGTTTAGAAAATGAAGCGAGTGGTGGCCTTCGGGAACCCATTATTGGACACTACAGTATTTATTAATGATAGCTATTTGTTGAATAAATATAATCTTCAAGATGATGGTCAAAAAGAAATCGGCTTAGAAGAAATGGAAAGACTTTCCTCAGATATAAAAAGGTGAATGAATCTATTCTTTGAATTTTACCTTGGATCATAATTTATTGATTTAATATCCATGTACACTCGTCTTCAGTGAACATGTCGCAGTTGGACGGTATGAGCGCTCTTATTGCAGCGGTGATTAAGAGAGCTGATACCGTTCATGTGCGACATGTTCTCTGAAGACGACTGTACCTATTCAATTCTGGTAAACTACCCACACAATAGTGGGTAAGTATATTTAGATTTTATACCAAGGTGTAAAATAGTGTTGAAAAGGAATATTCAGATATATTTATGAACACAAAAAATGGATACATATATAAATACATTGAGAATTCCCATTCTTCTCTCGGTTTATTCAACAGAAAAAAACTACTTTCCTGGCTATATGCCATGACAAATATTGCATTACATCTATTGAACACACAAGATGAGGATTTGAAAACAAAATCTTCTGAGGTAGAGAATTTGCATTCTCCTTCATATAATTCATTCTGAATATTCAACAGAAAATAACTACTTTCCTGGCTATTTGCCACATGGAACATTAAATTTTATCTGTTGAATATCCAAAAAAAAGAGCATGAAAAATCAAAATCCTCTGAAATTGAGAATTGACATTATCTCTCAAATCAAATATATAATATAAATAATAATAAATAATATGATGTATTATGATATAAAAATATAACTTATTAATATGTTCAGTATTGAAATGAAAATTGAAATGTATAGAAGTATACTTGTATGAACTTTGATCTTGATGAGCTTGGAACTTCCAAAAAAATCATTCATATCAGTGACATGGGAATTATCTCACAAAAAAAAGAAAAAAAAAAACTAAAATAGTGATTCCATGACGTTGGATATGTTTTGAACAAGTAATAATAAATAACAGCAACCCCTGGATCATCCCTTTATGCACTAGTATTCTAAAACCTAACTTTTACCTACCTACTTTAGTTGACTTTTGTAAAGCATAATTCCCCACCCTGGATAAATGTAGAAAACATACTCTCCATGAAAATTTTTTAGTTACAAGGAGTACTATACAGCAGGCGGTTGTTCTCAGAATGCCTTGAGAGTATTGCAATGGTTATTGCAAAAACAATGTGAAGCTACTATTTTTGGATCAGTTGGCCATGACCAGGAAGCAAATATTTTGAAAAAATTGATAGAAGATGATGGAGTGACAACCCGGTAAAATTGTGGAATGCTATACCTACAATCTACAATATCAGCAATTAGAATACTGATTTAGGTAACTGTTTCAGATACATTCTACAAGAAAACTTGCCAACGGGAAAAACAATAGCTTTAGTTAAAGAGTTAAATAGATCCCTTGTAGCCTATCTGGGTGCTGCAGAAAATCTTCCACTTGAGAGTCTTCTAGCAGAAACAGAGTTTCATGATTATTTAAAAAATGCAGATTTTATATACATGGAAGGCTTTTTTCTAACAAATCGAGTAAATGCCGCCCAGTATATTCTCAATCTCTGCAACCAAATCAACAAAATATTTATATTCAACATTTCTGGTGAATATTTGTTGAACATCTTACCAGATACAGTGAAATATTTTGTTGAAAATTCAGATGTTGTCTTTGGTAATAAAAGGGAGTATGAGGCTTTGAGAAATCAAATGGGCATGAGAAGTTTAGAGGAACTAGCTGATTATATCATCAAGAATGGGAAAAACAGAATGAAGGAATATGGCAAAATTGTAATCATTACTGATGGGGCTAATATGGGAAAATGTTTTTATGGTGGAGACAGAATTCACAATTTTGTTGTACCTTTACTGAATACAGAAGATATCAAGGATACAACTGGTGCAGGAGATGCATTCACAGGAGGTTTCATTGCCGGACTGTGTAGTGAAAAGAGTATAGAAGAATGTGCTAAAATTGGGTGTTATGCAGCTCATGAAATAATTAAACAGACAGGATGTTCAATACCAAGATTTATCCCAAATATTCTTGAATGAAATTTCATTAGGAATATCCATTACTCCACATAAGAATAAAGGATTTTATATTGTTTTTTCTGTATATTATTAATTCAATACCTTGACTGGTTAAAGAGCACTCTAATCTGGTTCATCATCAAGTCTATGGTTGAACCAGATTGACATTTCAAGTATTTATAATAATTGTACCACCAAAAATAATGTTTCATAAATTAGTATGTGTTCATTAACTGTCAACATCAAGCCAAGAAAGTAGAAAGAAAATAGTCAACTTCTCAGTGTGAACTCAAGAAGAAGATGGATATCCATCCACCATGCTCAAGAACTTTTTCAGTGAATGTCCATCCACCTTGCTCTAGAACTTTTTCATAATTTTATTGACAAATCTCTTAATACACACTTCTAGAACTCTCTAGATTAGTACATGCTTCAATACCAGTGTAGTGATAATTGCAGTAAAGTAAAGTTGTCCTATTGGAATTGGACATCTCTAGTTGAAAGGAACCAGTGATTTCCCTTGAAGAATCAGTTTCTCAAATAATGCAACCAATATAGAATAAATTTTCATGATATTATTTTTAGAGCAAAACATGAGCAAAATATAAGGAAGGTTAGGACTGCCAGAACACAGATATTTTTCAATGAAGTAGCTGTCCAGATTCCCAGACCCTGTTCCTGAGCAAAACACATGATAAGTGATGACAGATCTGCATCATAATATTATTATTATAAGGGATTATTGATGACTCACCTTGTTTCTCAAGTTGAAAAGCCAGTAAATGTTGAATTGTTCAAGAAGTATGAGTCTAACTATTCATCAAATTTGCACCTAACAATCACATACTAATTTTAATTAATCACTATTATCACTAATGGAAAATGAAATTATGGAATTGATGAAACAGTGCAGGAACGACTATGGTGTTTTGTGTCACTGTCACAATGCAAGGTGAATGTAATGTCAATAATGTAAGGTGAAGGAAGGTGTGTAAAACTTGCTCTAGATTATCTAGAAATGACGTGCATGTCAGAACACAGAACATCCGATTGACAGTATGACAGTAACAATTAGACAGTACCACGACAGTACTGACAGTGACAGCACAGAGATGTATGACAGCACCATGACAGTAGTCGAGTCGTCACTCGTCACGTCACACATCAGAACTGTGCTGCTTACGTTTTCGTTTTATTTATGTTAAAAAATAATGATAATACCATATTAAAAATAAAATTATTAAATCCATTATTGGAAGGCGAACATTCATTAGAAATGGTTAGTGAGTCATTATCATGAATGCAGTTGATGTAATAGAACTTCTTTTTCAGTCTGTGTCACAATTTCTGGAAGGTTTACCTTCTTACAATGAGAATAACTTCACCAAATTCCATGTAGACAACTCCACTAGAACACCATCAAAAAGGCCATCAGTTTATGTACCTACGAAGGATTACCCTTCTGAGCAAAGTAGATTATTATTTTAGTTCTTTAGAAAATATCTATATTAATTTAAATTTGTTTTAGTTATTGTAACTGAGAAAACTAGTATATTACTGAAATATATGCAGCAGCACTGGGACAAAAAATATGTAAGTATTTCTATGGATTATCTTCTATCAAATTGATTTCAGTTGATTTTTTGTGTAATGGTTGCATTATCAAAATTCACACTCATTGGAAAGTGAATGTAACAATTTGACAAGTAATAGCATAGTATTAGTATGAGTTTTTTTTTAGAATAATAAAAAGAGGGATCTAAGTCCACAATCACATGAACCTCCAAAAAAAAGATTAAGAACAGATGGCAGCAGGGAAACATCTCTAAATGACTATTGAAGCATTACAGTGTGATGAAAGAATGTTCCAATGTGTCCAGACTCTCTACAAATATTGTACCTAGTTAAATTCCATCTTCTGAGGTCATAAATATTTGTCATATTCCCAGCACCATATATTGGTCAGGTTAGGTTTCAAATAATGTTGATGAATAATTCCTTATTCATAATGTATTTATTTGATAAACATTGTCATTGTCCTATGTTCAGATTTTTAATTCAGAACCATTAAGTGATAGGAATAATTAGGATTATTAGGAAGACACAACCAGAGGACAATGTTAAGTTTGTACCCATAAATTATATTGGATTATTCAAGAAAACCTCTTATTCATCTTTGTAACATGTACTGATCTATGTAATGAGGTCTAAACTAAAAAGTAACTATTTTACTTGTACTAATTTTCAAACCTGTGTCAGGTATTGTGCTATAGAATAAATCTTCTAAATAAGTTTTGACTTACATTGAAATATTTTCTAATCCTAGAAAATGGTGTATATTTTGTCAGAGAAATGCAAAATGATAGACAATCCATGCTGATAACATATAAATTGGTGGTCAAGGTAGCATACATCATAACATTTACAATATCATTTATGTTGAATAGTCAAAATCTGCTGTGGAGATTTCTTCAGTTATGTGATTTTTGGGTTGCCTAATAATTGTTAGTATGCCGCCCATGTATATCAGCTCTGGTATGTGAGGAAAAAATCCACAATAAAAATATGCATGTGTATTACCAAAATCTGCTGTTGTTTACTTAGCAGCTTACAAGAGAAGATCCAATATGAATCAATCCAGGAAAAGTAATTCTTTTGATTTGTTACTTTCATGATAAACAAGAAATCAAGATAAGTATGTAGAACTTTTCTCTGAATACACTTGCATTAGGAAGCCATACATCCAATAGATGGTATTAAAGACAGGTCTTGCAAATACCACAAAAGTTTGTGGAGATGAACTCTGCTCAAGAAAAACTCAAAAAATAAACAAATGGGAGAATTAGTTATTGAATGGTTGGAGATCATTCCTAAAGTCCTAAACCATTATTGCAGAAGAAGTTCTTCAAGAATTTATGTTGAATCTACTTATGTCAAAATGGCACATGCATTCTGAATAGGAACAATGATGCAAGGAAAACAACAAAAAGCATGTTGCATGCAGAGTTACTTTTTCTAAAAATATGGATGATCAGATAATATTCATCCATACACCTAGAAAGGACCAATGGGATACCTGTTATCAGTATAAGATTGGCAATCTTTCCCAAGAGGTGTATGAGAATCACAGAAAAAAAAGGAAGAAGGGAGAGAAGCAGAAGAAAAAAGTGAAGTTAGTGACAAAAAACGTGTGATAATAGAGCAGTTCAGCCGTTGATTGATATATTACGCTTACGCCCAGCGTAAGCGTAATATATCAATCAACGGTTCAGCTACCGTTGAGAGAGAAAAAAAATGTCTTCCCATCTGTCCTTGTCTTCAGTGTTCCAACATGAAATAATGAAAATCTTATGTTGCCAACACTGGAAATGAGAAGAAATGGAGAAGAAGACCGTTCTAACCTTCTTTTACATCGAGGTTAATATGATATTCTTCTCCATTTTTTCCCATTTCCAATGATGCCAACATAATATTTTCATTACTTTATGTTGGAACACTGAAGACAAGGACAGATGGGGAAGACATTTTTTTTCTCTCTCAACGGTAGCTGAACTGAGGTCTTTTCTATCTTGAACGAGAGAGAGAAAAGTTCTCTCCTCTTCCTCTCTGCGATGCTACCAACGTGGCCGCATTGAAATATAGAGAGGTCCGATAAATCTTTCCTTGTCTAACATCTACTTTGTGCCACTGAACTATTTTTCAATTCAGCAGAGTGTCAAATTTAACGATATCAACAAATTATGTCAAAATAAGTTGATATAAATCGAAATTTAATTTCGAAAATTCGAAATGTCATCAGTCAATAACATCCATGACAAACACATATCACGTCATTATAATGTCGAAAATAGTTCAGTGGCGCAGACTAGAGGTTAGACAAGGAAAGATTTATCGGGCCTCTCTATATTTCAATGCGGCCAGGTTGGTAGCATTGAAGAGAAAGATGGAAGAGGAGAGAACTTTCCTCTCTCTCGTTGAAGGTAGAAAAGATCTCAATTATGGATCCCCAGAGTGTCACTTGAGTCACTTGTTCCAGTCTTAGGGTGGTCAAAGGTGGATATATGTATGGTGAAATAGCTCCCTCTTACAAAACCCTAAAAATTTTTGTAGACCTCTGGCCTACTTGATTATGTCGAATTCTATCACCGTAGTAAGGCCGCGCAAAACTAACGCTAGATGGCGCTGTTCCCGAAGTGATCTTGCTACACAATGGTTGTTTTGTTGTTTACATTTACGTATAATAATTCGTAATATGAAAACATTGAGAAAAAGTGATTGATTCAATGAAAAAGACGTGAAATTTTCATCATATATGTGAAGTATATGTGGCATGATGTTCCCTACGCCATCAACAGTCAATCCGGTGCGGCCTTGCTACATGGGGTGGTCTTAGGTCATGACGCCATGGTAAATAGCAGAGCTGGGCCGGGTACTGATAAATTGTACTCGAGTACCGGGTACTGTTTATAATTGAAGAACGAGTACAGAGTACCGAGTACCCCACTCATTGGATGTACTCAGAGTAAAGTACTCCGAGTACAAGTACCCGAATTTCTCGGGTACTCATTTCAAGTACATTTGAATAGAGAATTGAGAAATTTTGCATCAGTATTAGTAACCATATTTATTAAACAAAACAACTTAACTTGCAATACTATACCCTTACCTCTTAGTTTAGTGTGGTTTAGTCTTAAGAAAACAACAGAAACGATACAAAAAACACTTGACTCTATAACTGTTACACAGTGTACAAAACAAAAACTCCGCGTTGGTTCTGATTGAAGTGCTGACTGATAATGATAATATAACATATAACAGCGGTTTCCCGTGTTGCACTCGCATATTCACAGACAAGATTATTCTTGCAAAAAGTACCCGGAAAATGTACTCGTTTAATAAACGCGGGTACCGGGTACTTTTCCCGAAATGCTACGGGTACGAGTACCGGGTACTTTATTGAAAATGTACTCGGGTACTGAGTACACAAAATGTACTCAGAGTACAATATTTGAGTACTTGTACTCGAGTACTGCCCAGCTCTGGTAAATAGACCTAAAAACAGGTGCTGTTGAACATGTGAACTACGTCATTATAATAAGTTGATTTTTTTCAAAAAAAGTTTTTTATTTTAATATCTTGATGGAACAATTACATCATGAATCTTGAGATTCATTCCAAAATATTTCCACTATGTGGTGAAAATTACAATCAAATTCTGCTATGTGAGCAATTAGAGGTATTATATTCAGAAATTGAAAAATTCCAATGTTCTGGGTTCTAAAATTAAACTATGGGTGCATTCAATGCATGAACAGTCAATTAATTAAAAAAAACATATATTTTATGTTTCAAGCATTATAGAACAAACAGTTTTTTGTATCTACTGAAAAATTGCCTGGTACTTTTCAATGAGGTTATGTTAACTGGTTAAATCTATTTGTGTACTAATTGATGTGTAAACACCCTTCTCGTTTGGGTATAATTCATGGAAATAATGCCAAGAGAAGCTATTGTAGGCATTTTAGATCATCAACAGAATGTTATCATCTTGGTTATCATCAGCCTCCTGACAACACAACCTAGACAATTCAAATTTATTAAATTATGTTCAGTTGATTTTTTTACAATTACTTCCTCAAATATAAATGAGGTATTCCATGAAATATAATATTATATTCTTATCCTGACTAGCTAGGTATTCGATGGAGTTCCAGGTGAACCCACTACGTCAATGATTTCCCCTGTACTGATTTTACCTTCACCATCAGCTGAGGATAACAGTTGTGGAGGAATAGACAAACTCTGTGGAATAGAAAAGTCAACCACTTAATTTGCTAATCAAAATTATTCATGGTTGATTTATGCTTTTTACATTTCTAAATATCAAAGTCTTGATCTGGAAATAGCTGGTACATGAGCAACTATAAAAAAACACTAATGTTATAAATATTTGGTATTAATATGGACCAATGAAATAATAATACTTAAATGAAATTTTCTTCAAAATACAAAACTACAGAAAACCAACTTTTTATAAATATATGTGATTCCAGTTTGAAAAGTATCACAAAAAACCATATACGTATTAATAAACAATACAGATCATAACGGGTGCCAGGATGAAGCCAAAAATATGAAACAAATGAATATCCATAAGGATTTGGTGGCATGATCATATACGTATTAATAATCAATATGGATAATCTATATCTGTTTCCATAGCGAAACATGAAGCCGATTTTTGAAGACAAATGACTATCCATAAGGAAAAATGAGATACGATCAGACACATACTGCTTTGATTGAAAGGCTAGTAAACGTCATTGTCTACCGAAACGCATGTCTTTGATGACTACTATAATAGCGCATGGCGCATGCGTATCATGCCACCAAATCCTTATGGATATTCATTTGTTTCATATTTTTGGCTTCATCCTGGCACCCGTTATGATCCGTATTGTTTATTAATACGTATATGGGCATGATACGCATGCGCCATGCGCTATTATAGTAGTCATCAAAGACATGCGTTCCGGTAGACCGTTTACTAGCCTTTCAATCAAAGCAGTATGTGTCTGATCGTTTCATAACTTTTCCTTATGGATATAGTCATTTGTCTTCAAAAATCAGCTTCATGTTTCGCTATGGAAACAGATAGAGATTATCAGTATTGATTATTAATACGTATATGCAAAAAACAAACGAAAGATATCCAGCGCCCAGCACAGTGTCATAATGTCATAAAAATTATTATGGAAATAAATAAAAAATATAATTTTCATCAGAGATTCAAAGCATAAGGAAAAATCATTCATACAAGGTGTCCCAGAACTAAGTACCATAAATTCTACAGGGTGAACTAGAGACCAAAATAGGCCTATTGAAATCATATTACCTCCATACAAGAATGCACTGTTGAGCTGTGAGAGGGTCATGTAAAACAATTTCATTTCCATATTTTCTTCAATATTAAAGGTACTGCTCTGGGATTCGTAGGGCAGGATTCATAGGGAAATTTACTAATGTGAATGTGCATGGAAAGCATGTCATACCATTTCAATCAATATGCAGAGAGTTACTTATTTCACATTCTCTTTGATAAAAATTAATGTATATTTTTTGAGGTAGGTACTGCAATAATCTCCCTTTTTTTAACTGAAGTGTTTTTATTATTCTTGGTTTTCCAGATAAATTGCAAAATTCATTTTGTTGCTTCTTCATAAGACTTGTTTACGATGTTAGTATTATGTTGACGGCAATAATCATGTTTACCAATTCCAAGCTCTTCATCATGAACTGGGAGCTGGTCATTTCCAAATTTCAGTTCAAGATTTCTGGTAGAAAACTCTATTCCAGAAAAAATAGATAGATTTGAAGATGACCAACAACATTATCATATGCTGAAGTAGTTCATAAACATGATCAATATGGTCAATAACTTAACACAAATGAGGCAAAACTTGCAAAACATGATAATCGTCATGCTCATGAACAAGTATAAAGGAGAACCGAAATGAAGTTTGTTAGATATCTGGAGAACCCAGAAAAATTATTATAGTGCCGTACTCCAAACAAAGTTACATTAATTTTTATAAGAGAATGCTAACTATGCTTGATGTATATTGATTGAATTGGTGGGACATGTTCTCCATGCACATTCACTATAGTAAATTTGCCCTACAAATTTCAGAGCATAAAGAAAACCTGGAAATAAAATTGTTCTTCATTGTCCTTCAACAGTGCATTTTCATATTCTAATTAGCCTTTTGGTCTCTAGTTCACCCTGTAGAATTTATGGTACATTGTTCTGGGACACCTTGTATATTAGAGCAAATAGGTACAACTCCAGGTACAAGGATGTCTGACATATGAATAAACTTACCTTTCCTGGATTGAGTGCCTCATATTGATGTCTCAGTGACTGTAATTCATATTCACAGGTTGATAATGCAGCTTTTATTTCTATCAACAAAACCATATCACTTCTCAGCTCATTGAAATGCTGACAGATTTCTTCAGATGGAGTTGGATTCAATTCTAGAATAATTTTATTGGCATTTATCTTGTAACCATCCCAATAAATTGATTGATCAGCTTTCAAAGAAGATGAAAAGGTGACCAATGAATTTGTTAAAGGGAAAATTCATACCTAGACCCATTTCTTGTAAAATTTGTTCAACTCCTTTTGACTTCTTCTGGCCAACATTGGCAGGTAACTTCATCCTTTGGGATCTTAATGAAACTCCACTGTTTTTGAAATCTGGAAATTTTATGCCTGCACTTTCTATTACTTGGAAAATATGCTGAAAAAATTATTCAATATATTTCTGAATGAAAATTTGTGATTTTGTTGATATGGATGTATGAAATATATTTACATTTGTGTCAACTCTGGATGGTCTAGAAGGATTGGAAATTTTCTTTTTAGGTAATTTCTTATCTGTTTTTCTAGGCGTTTCATTTTGACTGTCTGCCTGACTGATTAGTTTTTGCAAATCTTGTGTTTTTCTTTCTCTTTCCTTTTTGCGTGCCTCAATTTTTTTCAACTCTCCAAGTAGAAACTGTTCTTCCTCAATCTGGAAGAAAACATTGACTTTCAACAATATTACTTCAAAAAGGTGTGCAAAAGTTGGTGAGATATATTCCTTCAAAGTAGTATATACCTGTTCAGGTTTTCTATCATATAACTTTTTCAGTTGTTCTTTCCTTCTACGTTCATGATCTCCATCATATGTGTAAATCTTCTTTTCACCATTTAGCTGAAAGAAAAAACACCATGAATACAGAAAAACCATCATCTCAAAAAATATAGTAGTTAAGCTCTGAAAAATAATGTCACATGAATTTATGAAACACATTTTTGGTTATAGGAACAAGATGCTCTGATTACAAATCCTTATAAACATGAAGTCATCTCAACCAAAGTCTCAACTTACTTTTGCTAGTACACCACATATTTTGTAATAACGTTCTTTGATATCTTCTACAGATCTTTTACTGAAACGTTCAGTATCATATCTGTCAGCCATCATCAAGAATCTCAAATCAAATCTATGTGCCAAATCCATCATATGATCAGTTTCCTCTTTGGTCCAGCCTTCACACTTCAAATGCTGCTGATATTCATGATCTGTATATGTTCTTATTTCTACTTTCTGCAAAGTATCAAAAACTAGAGTTATTCACTGTTCTGAGTTGAGTTCATGCATTCAAGTAAACCATTTAGCATACAATCTGACCTTGTTGAATTTAGCAAAGGGATATTCTTTAGGTTCATCAGAAGGTCTCCGCCAATGGTGAAAAGTAGCATTGTCTGTTCTAGCTGGATTTGTAAATGGCATCCATACCCACTTCCTTGGTTTACGCATCCCCAACTTAATTTTTGTCTGTTTGTACCCATTGTTACCAACTAGAATTGAAATATGATTGAAGGAAGCTATTCAATCAAGTTTGAACAACAGCTTTTATTACTTGTGTCTGATGGAAACAGAGGGGGAGCATCTTTGTTATCATTATAGAGTAAAGCAAATACTTCTCTATGCATTCCTTCAGGCCGTTTAGGAACCTTAGGCCCGACAGAAGTGCGTTTTTTTGTCTTATCTCCTAGTATTGTCTCTCTTGTTATTTCTGGAGTTGGAGGCCTCTCCAATTCCATAATATCCCTCACGTCTGCCATTTTCTTCGAATTGAAAATAAGATATCAACATGCAATAAAACAACGTCTGTCGTCTATAGTAAGCAATTCGTAGAACAGTCAGAATATGAGTTTGTATGTTTGATTTATTGGATTTTTCCAACTTTTCCCGATATAGATGTGTATGTGTAGAACAAAATAGTAAATAGTAAACTTAATCTACTTCTTCTTTTCTTCTTCCTTTCGATTTGGATGGCCTTAGCTAAGAATAGTAATCTTCTTCTTCTTCTCCCCTTCAGTTTGAATGGCCTTAGCTGCCTGGGCTATCTGGCCAAGTACACGCCTCCTTAAGTTTATCCTCAAGATCCTCTTCACAGTGGAACTGAAAGCTTTTCATACCCCCTGAGGAAGATAGCTCAATTTCTTTTTATTCTTCATACTATTTTTATATATACAACCATTATACAACAAACACCAATAATCTTCTTCCTTCTCGGAAGTCGGAACGTAACTCTTCTATGTGCTTATTCTTATTCTGCTTCTTCTTTTTCAGGGTTGCCAACACCTATCGGATTTCTTGAAAGCTGTCAAAGCGGCATGTTTACTTTGTTTTCAATGGTTCGCATTTGTGTTTTGTTTGTGCTTATTGGTCATATCATCCAAACAAACCGCTAAGAAGTGTTTAAGTTGCTGCCGTTAGGTGGGGCGACGTTTATTTTTACTACAGTTTTCTATCAGTTATCAGTTTTCTATCGCGAATAGCCCAAACTAATCTCTGGCCCATGTCAGGGATCAGGGCGTTACCACCATCGGTGGTAACGATCAGGGCCATGACCGTACCTTCGAGTTTTCGGATATTATTCAATCAAATATCAGATTATTTATTTCAGTCTTTATTCTGTACTTTGATTACACATATTGACATATTAGACTTACATCTCTATATGATAAAGAAACCTTAGCTAATAAGCTATTTATGGTCTTTTTGCTGTCTTTTTTGTGTATGCGATATATTTGGCTAAGTAATAGGAATGAATAATGGTTCATCACTGGGAATAGAATTTTGCGTTCAGAAAACAGAAATATTTCAGCTTTTCTCCCATTGTAGTAGTTTTTAGGGGACTCTGAAGAGATAAGTACTGCACAAAATTTTGAAGCACATCAGATTCTTTGATGATACAATGATGGATGGATGATTTTTACGTATTGAAAATTTCAGAAAAATCACTCGACCGCCTACTATGATTTCTCTACGTCACAACGAGCGAGGCGTTGATTCTACATTTTTCCGCTAGATGGTAATGCTGCTATTGCTTTTGTGACGAGTGAAAATAAAATGGCAAATGGCATTTTTGGTACGCGGAACATATGTAACAGTGCATGGGATTATTCAACTCTGAATTCGAAAAATCTGCGACAATTTCAAAACTGACAGATTTCATAATTGTGCAATGTCGCCATCTATTAGAAGATCGACGGAACTATTGCTCTCGCTGTTCTCGAGAGGTCGAGTAAAATTTCTGAAACAAAAGCGCATCAGTAATTACACACCATATCTTACTTCCATATTCCATCATTGATGATACTAAGTTTAAACAGTTTGGTTTCTAAATATTTGTGTGCTTCGAAAGACACCATTTATAATGTTTTATAATAATGTAGTAGTAGTAGTAGTAGAAGAGTAGTAGTAGTAGTAGTAGTAGTAGTATAGTAGATTCCTCAGAAAATGGATAGTTTATTCATTAAATGAATTTATTATTCAGTACTTTACGAAAGCACTGTTAATAACAAGGCCATCAAGAACGTTCAAATTTACTAGTTTCCGTTTTCAGTGGTTTCATCACCGATTCGTTTTCTGAGCTGACGAGTGATATAAGAGATATATATATAACACAATTATACTCTGATATGGGAGATCTCATTTTGTATCGTTCCTACAATTTATCTGACATGTCTATTTGATATATTGCTAGGTTTGTTTATATTGATGAAAGAAATCTGTAAAGTGTCGTCATCTTGCGGACAACTGAGAACTAATATGCCATTATTGCGGAATCTGCGGTCAAGCGTTTTGGGAAAAACAAAACACTGTCTGTGATTACACCATATACGAATATTCTACAATGATATGAGTGTTTTTTGGTGGAACAATTGCCAACATAGATATATATGATAAATAAACTTAGGATGAGAAATGTGATGTGAATAGAGGAGGTGTGATTATCTCATAACTATAAGCTCATAACCAAAAGCAAACTTTTGATGTATGTGTATGGAATAAAATGTTGGAAAAAAACTAGTGTACTGAGCAATAATTGTCATTTATTGGAGAGAAGTATTCAATCATTACAATACAGCAAAATTGATATAAGTAGGGTATGATTCACAACTTAATTAGAATATTTCAATAAATATGGCATAAGTTTCATAAAACTAGGAATACCTTCAATCAACAGTTACAATAATTGTTACATTATTTCTTTATAAAATACATTTAAATCTACATATTTATTTAACTCACTCGCATTGCTTTGAAGTTGCTCTAAGTCACTTTTCGGATATACAGCCTCAAATAACCATGCTGTTCAACATGTACAAGGCCTATATCAGAAGCTATTAATCTTAAGACACAGCGTGAATGGGTGATAAAAATACCAAATACTAATTGAGAAGTGCACAAGAAAACTTAAAATCGTGTCCTAGCTAATATACATATTAAATAATAAATCTCACAGCAAAACTATGTGGTAGAGCACTCAACTTTTTATAAATTTCATCAAAGTACCTATTCAAAAATTCAACTCTTTTTCTCATTTTGATTCGATATAGTTTTTATTCGATATATAATATTATTTGAACAAGAAATGCGTTTGCATATAAAATTAAAAAAATATCAACAAAAAACAACAATAAATTATTTCAATTCAAACAATTACTTCCAACACACTTCTTGGCCAAATTCAACAATATTTTTCTTTGGGGTAAATTATTGACTATTTACAAACCTTAAGCCTAAACAATACGAAATTAAGATGTAAAAATGAAATATATTGCTTAATATACAGTGAATATCCTAAGGCGAAAAATAAGACACATGTTTTGAAATAAGTAAGGCAAAAAGTACGTGTAGACTCGGTGCTGTATTTATCTGATTGATTTTCGAAATCAATGCATAAATACATTCAATAAATTATTTTTGGTATACCTAGACCGTATCATAATTTGTTATGTACAAATATATTTCGATTTTCAAATTTTCATCTAACCCTAATAATATGATACAAGTTCAACTAGTCTATACTCATTTGGATTTTTTATATTCAGAAAACCTATGCATCAAATGCTATTCGTTGGAATGAACCTGACTAGATGATATATTTCAAATGTACAGTTTATATCAACTAAGTACTACCTAAATTGTAATATTTGGATCCTAAGAGAATTGGAATGGCTACTCAATGGTAATTTCATGCTCGTTTACTCTTTAACGCCATTTCTTACTCCCAACAACTTAGCAGCATCATCAGCAGAAGCCGCCAAGACCTTATCGATAATCGACCGATCCCTAAGCCCCAACAAGTTGCTGATCAAATCTCCACCACCTTCCACCCCATCCGACTCATCAGTCTTCAGACAAATCTGGCCATCCGAAGTCTTGCTGTATGTCGGTGATGACACGTTATTGCCTTCTTCGTCGCTATTGTTGGCATCGTGCTCGAAACTCACGTTGTGCTTCTTCCTGTGGCGCAGCATGCTGTGCTTTAGCGTGAATCTGCGCCTGCAGATGTCGCAGCTGAACGGCCTCTCGCCAGTGTGTGTGCGCATGTGCCGGCGCAGATCTTCCGCCGACCAGAATCTGCGCATGCAGAACGCACAGATGACCTTTCGATTGGAGTAGTCCGGAAACTTGCCTCTTATCTCGTTATCTTCGTCTTCCTGATGCGTGACGTCATCTGGAGTGGTGGCGTTGCTGTCCAGGGCGTTCTTCGACATCAGCAAGTCGTACTCGGAGGCGTGTTTGTCACGGATGTGGTCGAGCGCGTCTTGTCGCTCGGAAAACGAACCCTCGCACAGGTGACACTTGAATGGTAAGTCGGAGTTTTGGATGACTGCATCCACTGGTATCTTGTTGTAAGTCAGTTGGCTCTCCCAATCGTTTTTCGTGTCTGGACAAGGCAGCTTCTCATCCTCCGAGCTTCCAGCTTCGTATCCTTGGGCTTTGATATCGTCACCTTGCGCGTTCGTCGAATGTTTGCAGCTGATGTGCTTCTTCAAGTTCGAGTATGTGGAAAAAGTGCTGCTGGGGCAGCTGGAACACTTGAAAGGTCGCTCTGGTACATTTCTCATTAAGTAGTTGGCATTGTTGCTGCCAGGTTCGTTGGAAATGGTTGTGGCGCTGTTGCCATGTTTGCGCAACAGGTGACGATCACAGTTGGATTTGGTGGTGAAAAGTAGAGGACAGTGGCTGCATTTGAAGGGTTTCTGTCCTGTGTGAGTGAGAATGTGCCTTCGTAGAGAAGAAGTCCAAGGGAATTTGCGGCTGCAGTAGGGGCAACTGACACGATTGGGTGCCAAGGAATAAGCTGATTTCTTTTTGACTGGCTGTACCGTCTCGGACTCTGACCTGAAACAACGCGAAGAATGAATTATTCAATGTCTGATAAGGACAATTCGGATGTTGAAATTTACATAAATGACGGAGAAAAATAAATTATCACGAGTCTTTCCACTTTATCGCTGATACATAATAATTTTCCTTGATTACTCTCCAGTTATGGGACAGACTTTTTGTATATAATTATTTTATGAGATAAACTGAAATTCATAAATTTTGCGATTGTCTGATGGAGGCAAATGAAGATAAAGTATAACTATAAAGGTAGATATACTTAGTTGTTTATGTTCATTTCATATTCATACAGGGTGACATTTTGAAAACTTCCCACCCTCAATATCTTCCTTCCAGTAAATAACATGAAAAATCGCAGACAGGTCGATTTAAGTTTCAAAGGGCACACTTCAAAATAATATATTGAGCCCTCTTGGTTTGATCCCCTAGGAGGGGTAGATGTTACCTTTTGAATTTCATTTTAAAGGGAGTTCAATTCTTTTTCTAATGGTACCCTTGTTCATCATTTTCTGTTGAGCAGTTTCCGAAAAAAGCCACGTCAATTAGAAAACTTCCTACCCTCAATATCTTACTTCCACTAAAAAATATGAGAAATCGAAAAGACAAGTCAATTTTATTTTCAAGAAAGACAATAAAAATGCATATTGTTAGCCTTCTTGGTTCAACCCCCTAGGAGGAGAAGGGGGTTTAATTCTCTTTTCAACAGTACCCTAGTTTATCATTTTTTGAATAGCAGTTTCCAAATAATACCGTTCTAAACTTACAGAAGTTATCAGAATTTGATGCCTGCACTGAGATGCATTGTTTTCAAGTTAGTATTATTGTGTTGACTCTATTTTCAGTACAAATGGTAGGGAGATTTTGAACTGAAATGAAAGTCAATACAATAATTATAACCTGAAAACTATTCATCTCAGTGCAGGCAGGTTCTAATATATTACTTCCGAACTTTTGTTAGTTTAGAACGGCATTTTTAAGAAACTGCTCATCAAGAAATGACGAACTGTGGTACAGTTGGAAAAAATAATTGAACGCCCTTCAAAATAATGTAACATCCACCCTCTTAGGGGGTTAAACCAAGAGCGCTAAAAATATACATTCAAAGTATCCTCCTCGAAAATGAAATGAAAATTTTGAGTGTCCCTCTTGAGAATGAAATCGACCTGTCTTTTTTATATCATTCACTCAATTCACTGGAAGGAAGATATTGAGAGTGGGACGTTTTCAAAATTTCAACCAGTATACTTCCGGAAAAATTTTCGGGACCTTGAAAGATATAATCATTTTTCTGAGACTAATATGATTTGAATATTATAAGTAAGAAGGTACATTGAGATCACCATGTTAATCGGGATAGCATATTATTTTTGAGTGTATATAGCAGTGTGTCTATGGAAAATTAAAGGTTGATATAATTTGAATATAGTAAGAATCAGGTAAGGATAAGCAAGGTGAAAAGTTGAGGACGAGGAGATGAAGTCGATGAAAACATGCGAATAGTGGATCACGCATTGTGAAATGGTGAGGAAATAAGTAAAAAGCCACTATCTCCACCAAATGTATTAGGACACCCTTGCACCATCAATCCTATTATATCAATTGATTACCTACTTGTTTTCGTCGGTGCCTGAAATATTTTCTTCGCTCGTACTTCCACTGGCGACCAGACCTTCTTCGTCTTCTTCGCTGGCCATTTCAGCATCCGGATCTTCGCCATTTCTCTTGAAGAAATCGTTGAACTGTTGCTGAGATGCATTATCCAATAATCGAGACACTGGCACCAAGTCCGAGCTTTCTTCATTTTTCATAGTCTTCTCGATCTTGAATTGTTGCAGCTCCCGCAGCCTATCTTCCAATATACGAGTCGTGAAGACATTTCGTTCTTGATGTTCGTTCTCCGCCGGCCTCGAATCTTCTTTCTCATCATTCTCGTCTATCACCAAATCACAATCTTCCTCATCCTCCTTTTTTCCGTAATCCTGCATGTCATGGTTAGCTCTTAACTGTTGGGCCAAAATGGCGAACTTAATTTTTTCGTTAAGCATGTCTTTGGTCTCGCCATATTCTGGCATCTTTGGTAACTCGTAGCTCGGAATGCTGATATCGCAGTATCCGGGTTTCGAAGGCATCAGAGGTTTCTTCCCAGGATTACCGACGTTGCCACGTTGTCTCTGTGACCAGTACTGCGGGTGTTGTTGTTTGATGTGCCTCTCCATGTTGGATCGAAGAGTGAACCTAGCTGAGCAATGCTCGCACGTGAATGGCCTCTCTGTCCTGTAACGTCTCTGCTTCTGTTTGGGCATTAATATACCGTTTTTTATCACCATCTTCACAGAGTTTGGAGACTGCATCATGTCGGGTTTATTTTGTGGGATTGGGCTATGCAATTTCGACATATTCTCCCCGAAATTCGGTTCGATAGTTAAGCTCAGTGGCTTCATTTGGTCAGCTTTATTCGGAGTAGAGAAATTACCTTTCATGACTATTTCTGGTTTTTGTTCCATCTTGAAACTATTATTGAAAGAAACAGTTGGACTCCGAAGCGGAGTTTGTGAATTATGTAAGTTCTTCAGTTCTTCGGAAACAACCGATCCACCAAACATCTGCAACCGCTGCATGCGTTCTTTCATCTCCTGGGGGTTTTGAGGTAAGTTTGTGGGAATGGTTGGGAAAAGTAAGGTGTTGAGAGGAAAACCTGGCCAGTTGGGGATTCCAGGAAAACCGCTACGATACAGAGCAAGCTGAGTTGCGTAAAGAGCAGCTGGATCGATCTTTGGAGGACTCTTGAGAAACTGGTGGGCAAAAATTTGTCCCACATTCGGGGGTAGTTGAGGAGGAACGTGAGTGGGAATGGGAGGGGATTTCTTTGTGAGATCTTGGGGTTCATCATCATCTTCTTCAGTAATATGTCTACTTATCTCATCGCATTTTTTCTTACTCAAGTCTAAAACCAAGTCTAAAGGTTGGTCGTCTTCTTCATCAAAGTACTCATCTTCAGAGTCATTATTGTAGGAACTGTTTTCTTTGAGGACCTCGATGCTTTTCACTTGAATTTTCCCAGGTGAGGTGGGATGGAGATTGAATTTGGAATTTGGCAGTACTGATCCATTTTGGTGATGAGTAAGTCTGTGCTCCTTCAAGGATTTCAGATTTTCGCAACGGATCATGTCGTTCATATTCGGGAATATTTTTGTGGGTCTAAGAGTTTGCAGTTCTGGAATCATCGGTGGAATTGTTGGTTTGAGAATAGCTTCAGATGGATACTTGGGTGTCGAACAATGAACCTTTTCGTACTCCTCATTATCATTTAGGTTATGTTTCTTTGAATCGTCTTTGGTATTTGGTTTGTTCATATCTTCATTGGTAGGATCCTCAGAAGGATGGTAAATAATGGATTTTTTAACATCATCTCTTGTAGTTTTGGCATGCCTATTTCTCAAGTGGCGCTCGCAGTTGGCTTTGGTGGTGAATGCATAATTACAGAGAGCACACTCGTAAGGTCTGTCACCATTATGTGTTCGCATGTGACGAATCAGCGCGGCTTTATCTAGGGAAGAGTGGGGACACATATTGCAGTGATATGTACCGTTATTGTTCCCGTTGAGGTGAGCCCTATTATGACCTTTGAGAGCTCTGAGATTCGGGAATACTGCTGTGCAAAGCCTGCATGGAAACTCACCACGCATTTTCATTTTTCTGAACTCGACTGCGAACAGATCTTGAGATTCCTCTTCTTCGTTTTTCTGAATCTCAGGAGACTGCTCCAGAGGCTTAGGCGTTGTGTTTCGTAATTCAGTTTGCTTGGCTTGAAGCTGCTGCAAGTTGATGTTGGAAAGAATAGACTGAATATCAGCAAGGTCATGGGTGGCATCTAAGCTCTTAACTATGTGTTGCCTGACCTTGTTGGGGCTTGGCGGTGGCTTTTCTGGAGAATTGTCTACTAGGTTCAACCTGGAGAAGAAGTCCATCCGTCTGAATTCTGGTTTGGAGATGATGGAAGTAAGGTCGAGACCATTGGTGTGATCCATAGGAATGCAGCTTTTATCGTGGATATCCAATGAACTTGAACAAGGAAAAGCTCTGTTGCATCTTTTGCATTGAAACTTCAGTCCACCAGTTACTTTGTGCAGGTTCATTTCGCATTCTCTTCTAGCGATGATTGGGAACTTCTCGCTCGAAAAGTCAACGAACGTCAGGTCTTTGAAACCAACCACCGGGTGTCTATTTAGAGTGTTTTCATGCGAAGTGGCCTTGTGAACAGTCAACAACTTGTTGTTCAGAAATACTTGTTTGCACATGTTGCATTTGGCAGGGTAATCGGGATGGTTGTCTTCCAAATGCGTTTCCAGTATGGTCACTGAGTTGAAGTCTGTTCTTTCACAGACTGGACACTTGAATGAGTGTGGTGCCTCAGTATCAGAGTATTCTTCTTTTATCCTCTTCTCTCCAGTATCGAGGTTCTCATTCTTCCTCTTGATACCTTTCTCGACTCTATTGTTGTTGAACTCGGTGCTCTTGGAGCTGCCAGTATCCGAACTACCGTCAGACTCGTAACTGTTCTCAGCTTTTTGAGAATGAGTTCTCATGTGTCTGTGCATGTTGCCATTAGTCGTGAACGTATCTCCGCAGTATTTGCAGTGGAAAGGCCGCTCCCCGCTATGCACCAGCACGTGTCTATCCAAGCTACTACTGGAGCTCAACACCTTGGAGCATATCCTGCAGGTATAGCCCTTTTCTACGTCCTGGACTTCGCTTTCGTTATTGTGCGAGCGAATGTGAAGGGTGAATTCGTGTTGAGAGGTCAGCATTTTCTCGCATATAGGGCAAAGGTATTTTCGTCCTGGAGAAGAACAGTCGCTGCGGTTGTCAGTGTCGTAGTTTTCCGATGGCGTTTTGGAAACGTCGGTTGGCTCGATGGTGGTGTTGGTGGTCGAGAAAATGCCGGAGTCGCTGCGATTGGCTATTACTTCTTTGGTCATCTGGTTTGGTGATGGTAGCGGTTCCATGCCGGTAACTGCAAGAAATAATGATAGTTCAGCTGGTGCCACAGTTTATTGTTTCTATGAATAGGTAGTTAAATTCATCGAAATAAATTGTACGGCGATATATAAGACAAGCGCTAGTGTATAAGTGCGTTGTTGATTTTTCATAAAAATGGAATTTAGTTGTTGCAATCGGTCTATAAGTATAGCTTATTTTGGGAGTTCTTTTCAATTCGAACTTTACTGTCAATCAATGCATAACGAATTTGTATTACCCTGTTGGTTTATCGAGTAAACTTTTTGACCATCTCGAATGATTCTTGTGTTGTTCTGCTATCTGTATACAGTAAAACGATAAGTTTAATGAGAACACCTCTCGGAGATTTATCAGGAATTGGACCTTTCGAGATTGTATAATCAAACATTTGTATGTGATATTGTAATTGGGCTAGTGAATGATAAATAGAAGATGGAGTTTTTTGTGACTTATTGTACAAATAGCCGTGACAAAATTGAATATTAATTGGATAAGCGGAATAAAGGTGTGCCAAACAACGTACACTTGGGTAATATAATTCTATTAGAGATCTCTCCGAATTCAATAATTCCAAATTTGAATTCCCCATATGTCACTGATTATTCAGTAGATAATACCAACTGATCTAGCACCCGATTTTTTGTTTTTTTCTTACTGCGCTTTTGGTTCATCAGATAAGAGTCAACACTTAGCAACTATCCTAATTGATAATAAATATATATGCATGTTTCTTAGCGCCAAGTCTCTTAGTGAAGCAAATATGAGTATACACCCTGTATTGAGCTCATTCCGGCAATTGGCACCGTCAATTTCATCAATCTTTCTATTATATACCAGCATACCTTTATTTGTCTCGACATCGATTCACGAAAGAATGACAAAAGCATCATAACAACTTTCCATGAATTTCGCGAATGATAAGAACATTCTCGTCATGCATATGATGTGATCATGACAAAATCCCAAGAAACATATGTTCATATTCACACTCGAGAAAAAAAATTCTGAAAACATTCTGGTCTGTACTGTGACCTTCATAAATGTATACAGGGTGCGATCGAAATAAATACTAGTGTCGAACACAACAAAATTCCCAAAATATCTGATTTTTCCAAAGTCGAGAAATTGTTCATTGAAAATTAACAATAGAGGAAAAAAAAATCGAGTACGCCACTTTAGTGCAATTGAAATCCTAGTGACTCTGCCGTCAGAGAGAATTCGCATTCTCCATGTGATGGAAATATCAATTCTTTCTCGGTTCCTTCAACAGAAAACAACTATACTTTCCTGGCTATATGCCACGACAATATTCAAGTTTTTATCGTGTGTGTTCAATAGATGTAATTCAATATTTGTCGTGGCATATAGCCATGGCTATTCCTGCAGGAAAGTAGTTGTTTTCTGTTGAATCAACCGAGAAAGAATTAATATTTTCATTACATGGAGAATGCGAATTCTCAATGTATTTCTTCATATATACCATATATATCCATTTTTTTTGTGTTCATGAATATATCTGAGAATATTCCTTTTCACTAAAATCCTAATTGATATACCTAGCGGTGTCCGATTTCCCACGAGCGAACACCTTTTTCAATACCCAAAGTGAGTCTCTGAGATAACCAGTAGGAAATACAATGCTCAATGAAATGTGACTTTTCAATTATGACAAAAAAACATGACTTAAACCTATATCCTACTCATGTTATTTGGTCTACTCGCAGTGAACCATTTCATGAAATTTTGCTTGGCTCACTACATTGTGTCTATTTCCAAAAATGAATAGCTGGGTCCCATCTTGACCCTCTATTGCTCTATCCCTCACTGTGCTCCGAAATATTTATCTTTAGTGTAATACTCGGTGTAATATTTCCAAATACTATTTTATTTCCATCTACGATTTACATTGAAAAATTCATATATCACAATAATTTATTCATCCCAAATATATAGGTATATATATATATGCAGGGTGATCCACGGTGGATGGCCTATTAGTAGTATCTGGAGAACGAAAAGACAAAACATTCTGAAAATTGAGATGCCTTGATAATTGAACATTCTCTATCTGTCTTAAATATTTTCATCGATACAGTGTTGTAACTTCTATCAGAAACAACTAGCAACTTCGTTATTTTGAATAGAGCACCCTGTATTTTATTCCATTTTTAGATTCTTCCTGAAGAGCTGATTTCATCAACGTATCACACTTGGCGTCTAGCAGGAATGATTACAGAGATATAGGGTGTTCAAAATCGAGATTTTTCAATTTTAGGATTTTTTTTTGTCGAAACTATTCATTATCGATCAAAACGGCTTACATGTTCCTATCTTAACGTTCGATTTACCATCTACTGACATTTGATAATTGGAACAGATACAGGGTGATCAGAATTCTGAATATTGCAGCACCCTGTATTTTTTCCAATTTAGTTTCAGTAGGTAGTGAATCGAAAGTTGAGATCGGGACATGTGAGCCATTTTGATCGATAATGAATAGCTTCGACACAAAAAAATACTAAAATTGAAAAATCTCGATTTTGAACACCCTATATCTCTGTAATCATTCCTGCTAGACCTCAAGTATGATGCATTGATGGAATCAGATCTTCAGAAAGAATCTAAAAATGCAATAAAATACAGGGTGTTCCAATTGGAATAACAAACTTGCTAGTTGTTTCTGATAGAAGTGGCAACACTGTATCGATGCAAATAATTTGGACGGATAGAGAATGTTCAATTATTAGAGCATTCCAATTTCCAGAATGTTCCGTCTTTTTGTTCTCCAGACACTTCTAATAGGCCATCCACCGTGGATCACCCTGTATATATATACATACAATTCATCATACATATGAAACGTTCACTTTTATACATAATATGAAAAAAAATAACAGGGAGGAACAAAGTGGGAACATTATAGCACAAAGTCACAAGCATTAAAAACATTTTGAAATATTAAAATTTAAAGTTGAGGAATTCATCGGTTGAATAAAAACTTACAGACGCTAGTAATGTCTTGACTCTCCTCTTGAAAAGGTGGAGTGAAGTTATTGTTTTAATTTCGGTAGGCAGACAGTTGAAATACCTAATACCGGAAAATGTAGGTGATTTTTCGTATAAAGCTGTTCTATGTTTTTTTGTTCTAAGTCAGTCACCACTTCTTGTTATACAACACAGTGATAGATGTCTACATGAATCGGTTCGTTTTAAATTGAATATGAGTCCTATATCACGCTTTTGAGCTATGAATACTCTGTTAATGTGGCTGCTACTTCCCCATAGCATTATGTTGTAGGATATAACAGAATTCATCAGTGCATAGTACACGTCAAGAAGCGATTTTTCGTCAAGTATATTTTTCAATTGAAACATTGCATACAAGTTTGAGCTCAGTTTTTACAGACTGAGCGTTACATGCGTTTTCTAGCTGATATAGTTATCGAAAAGTGTTCCTATAAAAATTTGGTAGATTCAGAAGAAGTGTATCGTTAACGAAAACTTCAAGTGTTGTCCCTATTTTTCTTCCATAAAACTCAATAAGTATTGCCTTATCGGCATTAATCATCAGCCTGTTATTATGACACCAAGTGACAAACCTGTTGGCAGTTGAGTTTAATTTATTTTCAAGTTCTACGGTACTGTCTGCTGCCTCCGCGATGATGTGTTAGAAGAATTTATATACAATTACCAAGACGTACATGTTCGAGTACATGTTTCTATATATTTGTGTAAAATTAATGAAAATACGATATTTTCTGAAAACTTTTCGACACTGAAAATGTCCATCCTGTATATATAGGTACGTCACAAACCGAACGGTTCCACATGATGATGTAGGTATACATGGTTTTGATATGTTCTGGGAAACATGGACGTCGACAAGACGTCCCTGCAACGTCATGGAACTGACGTCTTATTTCACCCTTCTAAGTGACGTTCACTCGACGTCGAGATGATGACGTGATTATCACGTCATAGAAAGTACGTCATAGTGACGTCATAAATTTGTGTGTGACGTCTCTGACACAAAATCAACAATGAGGGACATCACAGTGACGTGATCATTCGTCATCTGATTGCCTGGGAACTATTGCAACTTAGATAAAACGCTTTCTTGCAAATTGCACTTTAGAGTTGAAGTGACACTAGCTTTTTGTGGCTTGTTTGTGAGTTTATCGGACGTGATCGCATCACCCTGCTGGTGATGAACGATTTCTGTAATCGTCGTCCGTCATCCATAATTTCGTAAGACCTCTCGAACAATAGTAATCGGGTCAAGTAAACGAATATGCCGCCTGTTTACCAATAGAATACGGTTATGGAGAGACACAAAGACGTTTTATCGATGATGATTTCATTTTCATGTCAGGTACGCAGTCATGAATGCTGACTTTTATCTTGGAAAGCTGAATAACTACATAGCGGAATAAAAAAATATCAGTGTACCTACCAACGCCCGTCAAAAATTATAGAGGGTGTTGGTGAATAAGTACGACAAACTTCTAGTGATGGGTGATGCTTCTTTGTAGTATTTTAGGAAATATAAATTTTATATAAACATGTGTTCTATAAAATGCTTCGTTTTTGAGATACAGGATGTTGAAGTTGGAAGTATTAATTGGTTTTTACTTATAACCCCCTGCACCTAGGTCATACTATACACTAAAATTTGGAATGTTGAATTAATGACATAAAATATACTTTAGTCAGGAAAGTGTACAAAAATAATATTCTCTCAATTGAAAAATAGGTCCTGCTTATCCTGTATACAAGGTGTTTTTGAAGTAAGTATATACACATATTCAGCACATCGATATGATATACAGCATAACTAATATCCCCAAAATATCATATTTTTTCTAATTCTTCTAATTAACGACAATTTTCATTCCGAAAATTAAAGATCAAATGGGAAAATAATCAAGTACGCTACTTTAAAACAATTTAAATGATTGAACTCTAACCCCAAGTTTTATTTTGATCCATACATTTTTTTTATTGGTGCCATTCGATAGTACACGTCGTGCTTTTTCATGAGGGTGTGAAATATTTGCACTTATTTTAGCCCACCCTGTATTTTGCATTTTTGTTTGTGAAAATGAAAAAATGCACCAAACTAAAGAATATAGTATAAATGGGTAGGTATAGTTTGAAAATTGCTGCAATAATGAAACGGTTTTTATTTCGAATTTTCAACACTCTGTAGAAGACATCCATTTGATCAGGACATATTCGATTTATCTTTACGTTAAGTTCTAATCTTGGAATAAATCAAATACACAAGAATCTTCCCGGAAATTTCATTAATCTGAAATAACCGACATTTTCTCATTTTGTTCTCAGGTTCAAGATTCAAGATAAAATATGTTTTTGGTAAACATTTGAGCGGATGTAATCTCGAGATGGGAAAAAGCGATGATTTAATGGACCACAATGATACTGAACGTGAAAAAACCACAAGTGAGAATGTATACAGGTCTCGTTTCCTTTCGAAGAGCACACGGACCTTTACTTTATAAACATGGATTTTTTCAACAGTGTTGTTCAAGATATTTTCGTATAGATAAAAGTTATTATGTTTTTCATGCCGAGGTGGAAAACATCAGTGGTTTCACCTCGGGTTCCACGAAGAGATTATCTCTTCATTGTGGGTCTCACCAGAGATAATATATGAAAATAATGTGAGAATATTGAATTTAATTTGAATCACTGATTTTGCTATCTGAAAAAATCATGATTCTGCTAACATATTCATGTTCGAATTTGGAGACGGAAAGCATCAGAACTGGATAGGTTGTTTTCGTACTAAAGAAAATTTCTAAACATTATCTTGTGTTCTTATTTGACTTCACCTTGAAGTGGAAATTGAATTTTATATACCAAGTTTTGGTACGATTTGGTTCCGAATCTGAATATTCTGTATACAGGAACGTGTAATTCAAAATAATTTCTCACCTTTACCTATAGTTCCTGATGTTGGAGGAAAGCCTTGTTGAGGATTGTGGGGCATGAGAACTGTCCCCTGCATTTCGAAATCAGGAAAATCTGGAACAAAGAGTGAAAAGATCATTTAATTACATTATTTCAAAAGTTTGTGGCCACAACAAAGTATGTCAAACAGATCTTTGAGATTGATTACACAAGTGCGGTTTGAATAATTATTTCGGGTTGACAAAAGAAACAAAGATTCACGTGGTCTACCAGGATTGGCACATCCAAATATATTCCTGCCTCATCCATGGAAAAACATGACCAAGTGGATCCTGCTACAAATCATTTGTCAAACATGTATTACCAAGTGAGAACGGCTCTTCGGAAATCGGTATTCTTAAAAATTCTAGTGATTTGATCTCACAACAGATTCTGTAGCAGCTCTACATATTACAAATTATCTTTCAAACCTGTATAACAAAGTTAGAACGTCTCTTCGGAAATTCGGTTCTTCTGAAAATTCTAGTGATTTGATCTCACAACAGATTCTGTAGCAGCTCTACATATTACAAATTATCTTTTGAACATGTACCTATCACAAAGTGAGAACGACTTTTCCGAAATCAGGTTCTTTTGAAGATTCTAGTGATTGATCTCACAACAGATTCTGTAGCAGCTCTACATATTACAAATTATCTTTTAAACATGTGTATCACAAAGTGAGAACAAGTCTTCGGAAATTCGGTTCTTTTGAAAATTCTAGTGATTTGATCTAACAACAGTTTCTGTAGCAACTCTACATATTACAAAAAAATATCTTTTAAATTTGCATCACAATTATCACAAAGTGAGAACGGTTCTTCGGAAATCCGGTTCTTTTAAAAATGCTAGTGATTTGATCTCACAACCTTAACCCTCTGTGCCAGATGTGAGTGGTTGAACTGAGCATCATTTTGTATTGGATTTAAGTGTGATCCCTGCTTCTTAACACAATGGTTTTTCATTCACGTCAATATTTTATTTTTAAGAAAAGATATATACAAGTGTTTTGACCCTTTCAGCCCCATCGGGCTCTCCTACTCAAAGTTTATAAATATTTACTTGTATAAATGTGTCCAAATTTCAACGTATTTTTGCTTTAGTGCTCAAAATAAAACAGAATTGGCGAGATGGCGTCGCCTGGCGAAACCATTTATCCATTTATTTTCATACGTGTCATTGTATTGATTGATTTTCTTGATTTCCATAGAGTTTCTCGGCAGGTATGTGATAATTCATATGCATTTATGATAGTTAGATACTGAATATTAGTTGGACCTCTTTGTAACCGATGACAACCTCGACAGAGACATCATCTTCATAGATGATCAACAACCACAAGTAACCACTTTGCAGAAACTGTTTCACGCCATATCATGGATAAAACTGTAAAATTATATCGAATAAATATTTGAAAATACTTTTTTTTCTTAGGTTACCAGTGGGATATACATGACCAATTCAACAATATACAAATTTTAAATGATGCAAACCTGTAGGTGTATAACGTTATTATATACAAAATAGGTCAGAAATCGCAATTCCAACTCAGTTTATTCAAGAAAAAAAAGTAGGGCTGAAAGGGTTAAGAAAATAAGTGTTTTGAGAAAGTACGGCATTTTATATTTTTTATCGACAATAATTCAGAATCCATAGAGCATATATCTTGTCAGATTCTCTCATCTAGGATGCCTGCTTTTTCTTTATTTTCAGTAATTGATGAGGCATCTCTTCGCTGGTGGGTGCTAAAAAAATGGGGGTGTTTTTTCGAGTTATGCAAATTTTAAAAATCCATATTTTCTCTAAACACTTGCATCTCCTCTTAGAAAGAAGATATTGATGCGTGAATCTAAAACCACCGTGTCGAGAAATGATCACACCTCAATCCAAAACATGCTTCCTCGGTTTATTCACCCACTTTTGTCACAGGGCGTTGAAATTGAGTGTGAAATAAAAGCTTTTGTCTTTCCCTGTATAATGATCAAGCCATCGTCTCTTTTGAGAACTAAAATTCGGTCAGAATTTCATCGGAATCGGAAAAGAATTAGAAAAGTTACAGTGCGATCTATTTTTTGCTGGCCGGTTCTTTTTTTGCCGGTGAGTATATATTATGTGAGCACTACAATTTTCTTATCTAGGCATGCTTCTACCTACAATGGAGTCACCGTTTGGGATTTTCAGCGTCCACCCTAACCCAACGTTGATAGCGATCGATTGTCTCAGTTTTTTCAGTCACAACACAGTATGCATAATGATAAAAGTGAAGTGCACGCGGGTACCTTGTATAATCTATAACCTCCCGGTTGTTTTGTCTGTCGATCGGAACGTAACGCCAACAAAAATATACAGGGTGTCCCTAAAAGGTATCTACTACTTTACTATACTTCATTATACTTCAGACCAAAACAATTCGATACAAGGAAACTTAGCTCAGTATAAAAGTTGCTATGTTTACTCAAATTTGGTACGTTGGCTTAGCTTCATTGGGCAAAAAGCCCGTACCATATAATCATGATGAATATCATTACAGAGATGTTAAAGCCCTGTTGTTGAATAAAATATAATAGGAGGAACCCATGATATTATAGTCCTCTTGTCCATGACCGGTTGGTCATTATTGAATTGTTTATGTGGTGGAGTTGTGACTGTACGTTCCTTTGCCCCTCCTGATATTATAGTTCATTCTTGACTTTTTCGAGCAACCAGCATGTCCAAATATTTCTTATTCTCCATAACAAAATATCTTAACTAAATATTTTCAGTAAATAAACATCTAAAACTCCTCCGCATATGGAAATAAGGGGGCTGAATATGAAATTCAGATTGTGCATACTCATTTACTACGAAAGAAGTACTTTCGATAAAATTTGATTTCTCTCAGGGTTCGACAAAATTTGAATTTCAGTAAAGTAGAGCATCAGTCAACTTTGAAACGATTAACAGATATTTTGTATACAAAGATTTATACGACGAAAGATATTGAAATGTGCAATCAGCTATTTTTTGTTGTTTTTTGTAAACTGGGCAAGCCACACTGAGAAACTTTGTACTGAAGTGAGTTTGCTTGTATCCATTTTTTTCGTCTTATTAATCTTTTTGTACAAGAAAATGATGAACAATTTTCGTGATGAGAGTATAATTGAATTTCATCAAGAATACCTTTTTTTTAGTAATGAACAAGTTACGCAAGCCAAATTTCTTATTCAAACCCCTTTCTTTCTATAGGTGTATAGAACTTTTATGTGTTTATTTACTGGTAAAATAATGTTTCAGTCCCCATGGAATGTTCATCATAATCTTGATATGAGTTTTATCCCAATAAAGCTATGCCAACGTACCGTACCCTTAGAGTTTAAACATGTGATAGTTTTACTTATATAGGTTTTATATGTTTTACTAGTAACCGTACCTCATGTACTGATTTTTTATTTATACAACTGTCATGTTATATGTTTAAGTGAATAAATGGAATTTCGAAGGTCTGAAGGTTTTGTAATGACATTTTAGGGACACCCTGTATATCTATCTGTTGGAGATAGCGGCGAAAGAGAGCATATGTTCGCCTCCACCTGCCTGCCTCGTTCCGGCCTAAAACCACCTGCCCGGACTCGTGCTCGCGAGCTGGACCCCTTTTTTTATCCCCCGATACGCTGCAATTACGATTTTTATTAGTCGACGATATTGGGAAAAAACGCGCCGTTTCCCGCCGGATATATCTGAGATTAACGGACATTTTTATAGCGGTCATATGCCTACGAAGTCCGTTGAGACAGTTTCAAAATGTATCAAGCGCCGCACCAAACTTTTAACGTTTTACTTTTACGTTTCGTAATCTGATTGGTGAAGCGTAATCTGTAATTGAAGTGAAGCAAATGTCATTCTCAACAAAAAACGTCAACGTCTTGCGTTTTTTGCGTCTGGGACATCTCAATTTTCAACTAGAATAGAAAGCATTACCTCGGTTTTATCACTTTGTCCCTGAATAAAGCGAAACAATATCTATATGTCGGTGTCAAACTGTGAAATCCGTCATTCCCTAGAATGTCCAGTCATTTCACGTATTACCGGCAAACAGCGTAACTCTAATTTGCCTAATATAGTTTCAGGCATTCCCTGAAATGATGGAAGACAGAAGGAAGGTTTATTTAGGACGAGTCAGGATAGGTTGTTTACAAACAGTATAGTCTCTTTTCTTCTCTCTAGTAATTTTCCGAAAAATATGTACAATATTTTTTCCAATACTGACACTGAAAAATCAACATCTTTTATCAATTCAGATTTACATCTCCATTGAAGGAGTAATTAGTAAAATTTTGATATATCACGGATAGTTTGATTAGCAGTTCAGTTGTCAAACAAACTGAAAGGAACTTCGACTTGGCTGTCAGAAAATAAACGTTGTATTGAAATTCCAGGTGAAATTGTGACTAACTACAAAACCGAGTGAGAATTTAAATGACGTTCATTTTGATAGAAAGCTTGTACCCCACGTTCATGAAGTTAGGAAGGATATACTGATGAATATTGCGAGTAGATATTAAAAATACAGTATTCTATAAAATGTTTTGAAATATTGAAACCTTATGAATATCACACATGATACCATTGAACTATCATTGAAGTGGTACATCAACCGCCATAGCTGAAATTGTTTTGATTGGTTAAAAAAATGTGTCCTAGCCGAAAGTCATGGTTATTTGAATTCTTCAAAGGTTGCTTTCAGTTGTAATGAGATTTTTGTAGTTTCAACCATGTTTCAACCATATTTCGTTGACACTATTGACATGTTTTTCTACCTAGAATTTCTTCATCAATTCTTCATTATTAACCTAGGTTTGAAAGGTGTTACTTCTCATTAGTGGAAATCCTCGAATAATGGTGATTTCTCAAGTGAATGGTGGAAAAAATGGATTTCCTGTATTTTGGCGCTGTTTCATGTAATAGTGTCGGCATATTATACATGGTTGTGAAGCAAATTTGTAGCCCTATTCAATGGTATGAAAAACCAATATGGCGCCCATAATAGAAACAAAAGTTGTATGGTAAATCTCTGAAAGTAATTAAGATAGAATATT